GGGGTCCTCCTCCCCTGGGTTGTCACACGTGGTGGCCTGGGCACCACCCATGAGTAAGGCTGGGGACACTTCATGGGGACGATCTCTTTGCGTCCTTTTTACCCACCCTGTTCCGTGGCTGCGGGTGGTTGGTGTGAGCCCCCCAGGGAGGTGGGTCAGGGTGGACGCGGTCTCCAGCCGTTCCCAGGACTGAGGGTTCTTCTCTGCACAGGGATCCTGTGGAATCTCTCCTCCAGTGACAACCTGAAGGATCGTCTGGCCCGGGACACGCTGGAGCAACTCACGGACCTGGTCCTGGTCCCCCTCTCCGGGCTGGGGGGCTCGGGTGTCATCCAGCAGAACCCCTCAGAGGCAGAGATCTTCTACAACTCCACAGGCTTCCTCAGGTACCTGCTCTGGGCTGCTCCAGTCCTCCTGCTGTTGGTGAATTTTGGGTGGAGGAAGAGACACCATCTGTGCTGTAAGCACAGGGAGGAAGGTCCCCAGGGCTTGTTTCTGGGGTCCCCATCCCTTGCAGCGCTTGTGCATCAAGGCAAAGCCTGGTCAGCCCCATGGGAGAGGCATTACGTGCCCACCCCCCAGTGACAGGAGCGGGGTGGCCATGGGGAAGCCCCTTCTCGCCATGATGGACCCACATTCCCTGTGCAGGAACCTCAGCTCTGCCAGCCAGCAGACTCGGCAGAAGATGCGTGAGTGCCATGGGCTGGTGGACTCCATGATTCACTACGTCAACAGCTCCCTGGAAGTGGGCAAGTCAGAGGACAAGGTGAGCCCCAGGAGCTGGGTGATGGGATGGTGGGAAAACCCATCTGGCTCTATCTCCTGACACCCTTCTGTCCCACCTCCCCACAGAGCGTGGAGAACGCCGTCTGCGTCCTGCGCAACCTCTCCTACCGCCTGTACGACGAAATGCCCCCGTCCTCCCTCCAGCGCCTGGAAGGCCACAGGAGGAACAACAACAGCATGGTGGCAGGGGAGCTGGTGGGCTGCTTCAGCCCCCAGAGCAAGAAAGCACGAGAGGTCAGCAACTGGGAAGTGGTGGGCACCGTAATGGCCGTGTCACCTGGGGTGGGGTTGGCACTGGGAAGCAGCTGGCGGTGGAGGTGACGCTGGGGCGGAGGGGGACGCTGACCTCGGCTGATGGGTGGGACAGTGGGTGAGCTCAGCGGAGGGTGAATCAGGTGTGTGGGGTGAATGAGGGTGCTGAACCCCCACTTTGCTGTGCCACGGGGCATGACACAGCCAGGCTGACCTGCCAGGTCACTGCCAGCCTGGAGCTGCCCAACGGTTGAGGCCAGGCACGTGGGGAGAAGGGGACACCAGCAGCGAGGGATGCTGCAGAGGGGACGTCCCCTGTGTGGGTCTAACTGTGCCCATCCCTGCAGCACTACCTGAATGCAGACATCGTCACCTTCACGGAGGTCTCCAAGGACCCCAAGGGCATGGAGTGGCTCTGGAACCCACAGATTGTGGGCATCTACAACCGGCTGCTGCAGCGCTGCGAGCTCAACAAGCACACGACAGAGGCGGCCTCGGGTGCCCTGCAGAACATCACGGCTGGGGACCGCAGGGTGAGGGCACGGGGAGCGTCCCTGGGGCTTGTCCTGTCTTGCCTGGTTGTCCCCACCACCTGGCTGGTCATGGGCAGGGGATGTATCTCC